TATTCCAGGATAACCTTTCCTCTTGTCACTTGTCTTCCCTACTATGTAACTGAGCTGCAAGTTCCCTGGGACAGGGATACTGGTTCCTTACAGTCCTGTAAAGAAAACACTCCTCCTCACTATCATCATCCTCACCATCTCCATCATCCTCACCATCATTTTTGCTGCCCTTCCCTTCCTCCAAGCAGCATAAAATTGTAAACTGGTATATACGGTTCAACATATTACTTTGCATATGCTCAGAGACTTATGTGAAACAATAAAGATGATTAAGCAAAGACATTGTTTGACAGGGGTGCTGGCCAGAGAGAGAAGCATGGCTCACAACAGCAGCCTGGCCCCAGGTGTTGGTGCGACCATCCCTGTCAAACCACCCAGCGCCTTCTGCCCGAAGCAACCACCTTGCCCTGCATAAGGGTAGGCCTGGTCTCGCTTCCAACTTGAATGTCTTCCAGGCAATGCCGAATGAAGCACTGCCAAAACAGGAACCACCCAGACAGAACAGCCCTGAAGCTGGGAAGCAAGTCCCACATGCAGGAGCATAAACTGAAGGAGGAGAAATCAGTTCTGAGGGTCAGAACTGTTTGTTTTAGACCAGACTTCCACAATCTGGTGCTCTCCAGATGTGTTAGACTGTGATTCCCCTTTCCCTTGTTGCTGGGATCTACGGGGGTTGTAATCCAAGACATCTGGAGGATGCCAGGGTGGAGGAAGAGGCCATTTTGGACCTTCATGGCCACTGAGTGCTGAATTTTTACACCCCTTATAAGAGCAATAACTCTTTCATTACGAGGAGCTCACATGAATCTGTCCGTCTTTGAAGCCTTGTTTGTTCTTGGGGAGAAAACAAGATACCAACACAAGTCTCTTGCAAACCTGCTGGAAGTCTCAAGGACCTCTCTGGTGTCAATGTCTGGAGGGATGCTTTGAACAGGTTTCCATCTGTAAACCATTAGTTTAAATTAAAAACACCTCATTCCAGTCACCGACGGCTCTTCTAAGGCTCTTCTTCATTAAACCCCACAAAAGCAAAGAGGGTGCAGGGAGGAAACAAATGTTAGGAGAAAGGAAAAAAACAAATCAAAGCTTCTCCATCAGAAGGAATTTGACATGATATGAGAGCAGGACCAGTTTATTTACAGCCTCTGCTTGTCGGGTGGTTGTGATGCTTTATCACTTTAAGAAAAGGAGTGAGAAGGAATCAGCCACCTTTCAAAAAGAGGCTATTGAAAAAAAGAATATTTCTTTTAACATGTATCTGATTTCCTGGAAGCTCTTCCAAATTCTGTTTGTAAAACTTGCTTCTGCCTCTGTTACCCAAGAGAGGAAAAGTTGGTTTGAAAGGTGCGTGTGTGTGTATGAAAGAGAATTTTATCGAGTAAAGTCATCTTTTTAGATATTTTTGCAGTGTTTTATACTTAGTTTTTTAAACTTTTTTCATACTGTTTCTTTAAATGTGGACAGATTAGAGGGAAAGCTAGAAAAATGAACTCAACAGAAAAAGAAAGACACACACACAGATAGGATCCAAGCAGCTTTAAGGATAATGCAGTTGGTATAGTATGACACCTTGTCGTACCTTTGCCAAAAGAATAGAAACATTGGGCTGGAGAAAAAGAAAAGAAGTAGTATATAGTCCTTCTAGAATCCAGCATATCAAGCTAAACTTTGGAAGCTGGTGAATCACAACAGTTTTTGGCCCTCATTGCTATCAGTTAAACCATAGTACACTGAAGCACAGAGTAGAAGGGATGTTACCATCTTGCTACTCTCGTAGTTTTATTTTAGATCTTAGGTATAAAGATAAGCTGGCAAGGTGACATTTGTAGTTTTTCTTTTCTTTTTCCTTCCTTCATTTTTGGCAAGAGACCAAAGATTATGATTCCTACCACTTTCTGCAAATGAAAAAAAAAATCATATTTTGAATATCAGGCTAAAGATTTCCACAGATTCTGGATCCACTGTGCAGCCATTCTGAATGTATTTGCAATGAACCGGAGACTCGTCAATGGATCTTTGGATTTGCGCTTGGATTACTTAGGAACATGGCAGCCAAAGAGTCGGTGTGTGGTGCTGGACCGAGAATGAGGCCGCAGCCGGGACCATTCAGTCCAAAACCCTGGATGACCCTGTGCTAGTCACATCCCAGCTTCCTAATCGACCTCACAGGGTTGTTGTGGGAACAGAATGGGGAAAGGACCCATGTACCCCAACCTGAGAAACTCAGAGAAAGGGTAGGATTAAAATGCAGTAAATAAGATTAGAAAACAGAGTGCGCAAAGAAAAAGAAATGGTTCTGGATCATATTTAGGGTTGTTGTTTTTAAATTCTCAGTTTGCAGGCAGCAAGGTTGTTCGCAGCAGCATCAAACTAGCCACTCTTAAACTGGGTCTACCATTTTGTGTGCTTGGTCTCCTGGCTCTGATGCAAGGAGGGACTCCCTTTAAGAGTCTCCCGGGGCACTTCAAGCACAACCAGGCGAAGTGCAGAGTCCCGTCTTTTCAGCATTAATGGAACGATCTTAGGCATGCTTAGATTGACAAAGGTCTCCCAACTTGCAGCACTCAATGTTAAGAGTTGCAGGAGCTTTCCTTTGTGTGACACGCACAGGATCAGCCTTTACAGATCTGTTTTGGGTGAGAAGAAAGGAAGAAAAAGGAGGCCATGCATGGTAGATAATGTCTGGGCCGCTGCAAGGCAGGGCCGCTGCTTGCTCCGTGTTGGCAGAGTTACAAACAACAGTTCCTGCTTTTAAGTTCTTACATCCTACCCATTCGGGTACCTTTCTTGCACCTTTTTGTCAGCCTTCAGTTTGAGCCTGTGGTAAATGAATGGTGATTAAAAAGGAAAAAGAACACATTCTCATCTATAGCCACATTAGAAATGCGAATCAGGTCAATACATTCCAGTTGATTTCAGCGAACGAACGTCAAGTCACAGCATGCCTTGTAAATCAAAGCCTGCACATCAGCCCTTGGAACAGGGCCGGAGAGGCTGATGGATAAAAAGGAAAAAACAGCGCTCCTAAATCTGCCTTCAATGATGACTGTTCACTGAAAAATGCCGTCTTCTAATCACCCTTCCCCATCCCGGTGCTCTACAGATGAGGTCATATTTTCAATTATTTTTATTCCTTTATTTATATTTATGCCCCATCTTTCTTCCTCTTCCGAGGAACTGAGGGAGTCTGCTGTTAGTCTTCCTCCTTTCTCTTTAATCCCCACAACAGCCCTGCCTGGTAGTCCATGATTGGCCCCAAATCTCCCAGGGAACTCACTCACTGAGTGAGGACGAGAACCCAGGTCTCTCGAGTTCCCATCCGATACACAAATTACTATGCCACACTGTCTCCATGATTGGACTACAACTCCCATTATCCCTACTCAACTTAGTCCATCAAGCCCAGATTGTCTCCTCTCACCAGCAATGGCTTTCGCAAACCCCAGCAAATGCCTGGTACCTGAGATCTTTTTCACAAGAGCTGCCACAATTCACGCCTGTGGCCTTTCTGAGGCTCAAGCCCATACTCCTTAGCAGGACAAGGGAGTGTGCCCACTCTCTCCCTGGGGGTTTCAGAAATCACTGGAAACCCCTCTGCCCAACATTGTCTCCCTGTGCAGGGGAACACCTGGACTGATTTTGTTTATTTGCCTGCTTGTTTGCTTGCTTAATGACTGTGACAGGATTTCAGTTTGCCAGGTACTCCTAGAAGTTTCTGGAAAGCAGATGTGTTTTGCTTTGCTTTGCATATGCCTGTTTTTCCACATGTACTCTCAAGTGTGACCGTGGGCATTTGAACAGATATTGGCTGGGTTTGGGAGCAATATCAACCAATATCAAGTCAAGACCGTTGGTCTCATACAGCTACACCTGCCTCATCTTCTTCCTCAACTTTTCCCAGGCAAAGAGAGACACATTAAGGGTGCAATCCTGTGCTTGGTTGACTTAAAAAAGCCTGATAGCTCTTTGCATATCCATGACGGGCCAGGGCCATGCTGGGAATGAGAGAACTCTTTTTCCGTCTCCCGTGCAGAGCACTGCATCCTTAAAGCCACCTCTAGGGTGAAAGTTCCTGAAATGATTGCAGCTTTGCTCAGCCTGCAGCATGAGAGCATGACAACTACCCCTCCTGCTAAAACTCTCTCTTCTGCTCAGCTCTGCAAGGTGCACCATGTTTGTCCTCCTTCACATCTGATCGTCTTCCCAGGAAGCACCATGACTGTGTGACACATGTTTCCTGCAGTTTCACTCCTTCCCAGGAAATCCGTCAAGGCTTCTTTATCCATCTGTCACCCCTTGCATCGCAAGCTGCTAGCTGTAGCTGGCACACAGCTGCTGAAGAGTGCCAAAAACAGACACTTGCTACAGGGTCTCACCAGGGTCAGCTCAAGGAAAGCACATTTCCCATCTGCCATCTGTTTACCTTCTATAATGGCCACAGACTCCAACAGGCCTCCCCATTTCCCCCATCTCCCACAGAAATAGACTGTGGCAGCTTCTTTGCAAGCATATTCAAGATCTTTTGGATGTGTCAGACCCTCTAAAATATTGTGACTTTCAAATGTCTCACAGAAAAATCCCAGAATCCCTAAAATACTCTCCTCCTACTACTCTCACTGTGACTCTGATGCAGGGGTAAGTGGCCCCTAATTGTCTTCTTCTTGCCAATCAGAAGTTGTTTCACATGGACATGTTCCTCACTCGGTTAGTGACAATTTGACCTTGTGAGGAAGCCAACTCTGCAGGCTTTCGTAGCACTTTGCCTCAGATAAGTGACTTTTCCAATGCAGTTGCTTATTAGGGCCAACTTATTACATACTGAGCAATCAAATGAAGGTCATGTCCATGAGAACCAGGTTATTGCAGAGTCCAATGCCTGAAAAGATTGGCCTTCCATACTGGTTAATTATAAGGCTTGTTGGGAATAGCTTAGCTGGTTTGGGTGAAGATACAAAAAGAAATTGCAAGGGTACAGCAATGCACATAAAAAAGAACAATACCTCCTTTCCAGATTTCTCAATCTCAACTGTCACCGTTGTATGGTTCTTGTGCTCCTGGAACATGCAGAGATAACAGATGCAGACCTGGTCTGTCTGGCAAAACAGCTCCATCGTCTTGCCATGGATAGGACATTTTCTGGCTTCAAAGTCCTTGATGGGATCCAGAAGCTGGTGATCTCGGAAAGCAGCCCCCTCCAAGTGGGGCTTCAGATGCAGCTCACAGAAGCTAGCTTGGCACACCAGGCAGGACTTCACCGCCTTCTGCTTGTTGTCTATGCAGGAGTCACAAAGGACTTCTTCCAGATTCACACGGGGCCTTGCGCTGGACGTTCTGCTGACCCTGTTGAAATTGGTTCTCTTGACATCCCCAGATTCCCCGAGGGAGATAGCAGGTTTCCTTAAATCTGCAATCTGCCCACTGGAATACAGTGGCTTCTTCACATCCCCTTCGGTGGTAAAGGTTTTCTTCGTCTCAACGTTGAATAGCGGCTTCCTCAGATCTCCTCTTTCTGGGAATGAAATCTGGGATCTCCGGGTTTCCCCCAGCTGGATGGAGGGGAAAAGAGACTTTTTGGCTTCTCCTGCATCCATATTGAAGTAAGTTGACCTCTTCTCATCAGATGATTCAACAAACTGAATGATTGGCCTCTTCCAGTCACCCCCAGGGTATACTGAATTTTTGAGCTGGCCCGCCTCCAGCGAGGGACTGACATTGTTCCTACTGGCATCTTTGTCTCCCCGATTTGGGCTGGTAGAGTGCTTCCCATCTTCTCCCTCCTTCTTAGGGGAGATTGTGGTCTTCGCCTCCTCTTGCTTTCCTGTGGTTCCATTTGTCCGTGCTGTCTCCATCCTGGCACCTTTTCTCCACTCCTGGCGTTTTGCTTCCTCCTTCACAACTTAGCTCCTGTCCGGAAATGGTCAAAGGTTGGCCTAGTTTTCCCTTTTCACCGAAGCAGACACTCTTGCTGGCTATTCTCCCAGCAAGGAATGGAAAAGCAATACAAGAAGGGCTTGCCTAAATGCCACACCTAGAAATTGGGGAGGAGAAGAAAGAATCTTGAATTATAGTGGGCAGAGCCAGCGAGAGAAGTTACAAAAGGCATCGAGAAACCCAGCCACATGGTTAATTATACAAGGCGGCCCACACCCACTAACATTCTTGTCTAACCAGGTTCGGGAATGCAGCGCTGTGTATGTGTCACTTCTTCTTTTTTTCAAAAATAATTTTCATTAAGAGGCCACAACCAGTTCTGCTGCCGGTTTTGAAAATAGTTGCTTGTTGAGAGCAGGGGTGGAATGACCTTTTCTGAAGCATGGGCAGAATTTGAGGTCTCCTTCACACAAACACACGTGTGTGTGCACAATTAGACTTGCAATGAAAATTGATCCAAAGACTCAAGATCATATACTGGAACTGGAGAGGAATGACCTTGAAGGAGTTGAAAACAGCACAGAGCCATTGGGGTTCTTGATGAAGCCTACAACCAGGTGGAAGCTTTTCCAGGCTTTTCAATGCCTCTCCTGATGTTATTCTTTGCAGATGTGCATTATAACATTCATCTAGTTTATCTAGAACAAGGTACCATTGCAAAATACAGTGCACTTTCCATTTAACAGAGAGTGGGGAGGGAAGGGAGAGAAAGTGAGAACAATTCTAGCCATGGGAGAAATGCCTTCCTCTCACCTTTGCAGTGAACACCAGTAAAGATTCACCCCACTTCTTCAGCCGTTTGCTGGGCTGAGGGGAAACTGTGACACTGTGCTAACCAGCTTCAACCTAAATCCTTATTACTGCCGAGACACACATGTGTATCCAAACACTCAGTTACCCAATAAACAAAGCCATTGCACAGATCCGTGTTTTTTACTTTCTGCATTAGGGTTTCATTCCCTGTAAACAACAGCCCTTCCCTATCCCTTTTTAGAAGTACAGGACATGCTCTATTTTTTTCAGAACCTAGGACATGAAAATTAATGAGAGGAAGAAGAGGAAGGAGGAGGAGAAGAAGAGTGCCTTATGACTTATCCTGGGCTGCTTCTTTGCTTTGTGCTACTTAGGTTGCAGGGATGTCTCAAGAAAGTTGCCCCAGGGACCTTCAGACTATTAAAGAATGTTCAAGGGTGGGGTTCTGTGCTCTAAGGTGCACTGAGACAAATATGCAAGGGCTTTTTTTTCAATCTGGATTAACGCTTAAGGTAAGCCAGAATGAACAGAACTGGAGCTACTAGAGAAATGGAGGGAATGAACAAGGTTTCCAGGGAGAAGAGTCTGGCCATTTCAGCCTCCAAACTTCTTCAAGCAGACATTTCCTTCTGCTGTAGCTTATAGAGTTGTGGGACTTACAGAGCTATGGGACTATTTATCAGCTGATTTTTGAAAAATGTGTTAAGATGCTATCGGGAGATCTCTCCTGAATCAAACCAAAGGTCTGGAGCAACCTATTTCCCACAGTGCTAATCAAGCATTCTCAAGAAATCACCCAGCACTTCCATAAATAGAAATGTGCAGTGTGGGAAAAGGACTTCTTAGCTCTTTCCTAAATCTACTGCCAATGTTCTTCTTCACCAAGGCCCATGGTTCTCGTATCATCTAAAAAGACAAATCTCTCTGGCCACTTTCTTTACACAAGCCTAATGCCACATGCCTCTACCATGTCACTCCCCTTTCTCCCCTGACCCTTTTTTTTCTTGTCCTCCTGATCCTTTGGTGGCCTTTTCTTACACTTTTTCTGCAAGGAAAGCTGACAAACAGAAAAAAGGGCAGCTGTGTTTGAAATACTGTCCATCCTCCCAAAGCCAACTGCAAGCAAGCTTTGTGTTTGCAGACCATATTCTGGACTTCAAACTCTTTATTCAAACCCACCTGCTGGATTTTAGATGTGACTTTAACCTGCATTCTTAGCTCTATGAATAATAACAATGCATTTTAACAAACAAACACAAGGAAAATAGAAAAATAAACTTTAAGATATAGAAAAGTTTCACTTCTTGGCCCTGATTGATGGCTACTCATTTCTGTATTCTTGCCCCAGTTGTACACAGTGCCAAATAACTCTTGATATTAGTTGCTCAGAATTCATTTTAAACTTGTTCCTATCTTCCCTCTTTAATGCAATCTCTACTTTAAAGTACAATCCTATGCATCTTTAGACATGTATAGCTGGCTGAAGCATGCTGGTAGTTGTAGTCTTTCTTTCTCTGTCTGAACATGTATAAGATTGTCTCGGCTGTTTACTTCCCCCAGTTCCCTCATGCAAACCATTCAGCATTTCTTGGGATTCTTCATTCCTGGCATTGCTTTTATAGGTTTTCAGGTCCTCTTGATACCTTCCCAGCAATCCCACAGAAGCTCAATTCAGCTGTTTCCTACTACTATGTCACCCATTGCACTCAGGTGGCTCCCTTTGCATTGAAAGTCATTGTTTTGCCCATTTGCCAAATTTTCACTAGGTTGGTAGCTCTGGGGGCTGGTGGGGAGGCCCTTTCTGAGCACAAAGGGTGGCTACTGCAGATGAAATCAAGGGATTCTCCCTGACCCTTTGACACATCCAAAGTGCCAAAAGGAGATGTGGACAGTTCCGTGTCCGGTTTGCTGCGGCAACCTTGCTTCCCATCACCTATTGTGAGGAACACACCTCAGGTGCTGCAGAAGGTAAAGCGAGTTACTGTACACAAGGACGATCAGAGAACTCAGGTAAGATGTGGATAAGACCATAATCCCAGGGGAAGCTGGGTGTCTCTTTTGTCAGGGGGCTCCTTATCCATGGCACCTTCTATTATAAGCTTCATGGGAGCTATCCATGGTGCTCCATGGTGGCAAATCTATTTTGCGGATGGAGTTCAGCACAATGTGTAACTCCTACAATGCTCAAAGAAAACCCCACCAGAGGCTCCTCAGCATGCATGAGCTTGCCCTGGAAATCTCTTCTCATTGTGATTGGGCTTTCATCCGGACAAGTGTCATCTCTAGCTTACTGGAATTTTCCAAGGACTCTCCCTCCATACTTTCAACTTGAACACCCAAAGAACTGCCTATGAGATGACACAGCCCTGCTGTCTCAGCACCTGAGCCAGTACTGGTTCCACTGGGTCCTTTGTGCAAATTTGACTGCATGGGGAAGATCCTGCATGGAGGCTGGTCCTCCCAGTTCAGAAGTCATCATCTGTCTGGGCTGTAGGACTTCCAGGGGAATGTCTATTTGGCTATACTGTGCCATCCACCTTGTGCTTCCGACCAGCACAATTGGAGCTGGCTTGGGATGAAAGCAATGAACCCTCAGCATTTCATTTGCCCTGGAAAGGAGCACATTCTCTTTGCCCACTCTCCTGACTCAGAATGAGGGCAGCCAGAGGACTTCACCAGCCCAAAATGACTAACTGCCATGAATTGCCAGGCCTTTCTGGCTCAATCCAGGACTGGTCTGGATCAGGCAGTGAAGAAAAAAGAAGCCACAAAAAGAACACCCACAAGCTGAGGCTGCAAACTCGAATGAGAATTAATGAAAGGAGGAACGGGACTTGCTTGCAGGTGCAGGATCCTGAGGTGCTTGATCTGCCTAATCTTGGAAGCTAAGCAGGGTTGGACTGGGTTGAAATCTGAATGGGTGACTTGAGTCCTGCACTGAGCAGGCAGTTGAACTCGATGGCTTCCTAAGCCCCTTCCAACTGTATGATTCTGTGATCTGTGGTCCATAATCTATTTTTCCTGTTGCAAAACAAAGCTTGCAAACATTGAGCACAGTACTAAATGATCCATCTATCTTCTGTGGGTTTCTCTGACCCCTCCAAAATGTATGCTACTGATATGCTGCAATTCAAAACCCTGTGGAGAGGGGTGGCGGTGGGGTTAATTTCATGTCAATCAAGTGACACCTTCTAGTTTGGAAGGGAGGAGCCGGAAGACATTTTTGCATCCCTCAGCCATTGCTCTGAGCTCTGTGGAGCTTACTTACTTTTTTCCGCACACATGTGCAGAAAGCACGACTTTGTCAGCAATGATCGTGACTCATGCTTCAGCCAGCCATGGGCACTGCAATCCTTTTGTCACCTCCTTCCACTCAAGGTGTGTCTAGACTGCGTGAATGGGGGATGAGTGGTGGTAAGAGAGATGCTGCAGAAGCTCCCACGTGCTTTCTTTTATGAGGATGCACATAAACTTTTCATGTGCCACGGCTGATGGCCCAAGTCAAGCCAAGCGAGGCTTCTGGCCAGGAAAGACCTGCTGCAGCAGGAAAAATTCTCTCCACAACACAGCTGTGTGCACCAGCGCCCTCTTTTTAATGCCTGATACCAAAAAAGGTTGCAGGAAAGGTGCTTTGTCTCTCCACCCTCTATTCCAGCCAAAGTTGTCATCAGGTTTTACCTAAAATGAAACTCTGTTTTGTAGATGCCACATTGAGCAAACTACCTGAGGAACATAAAGGGAAGGCAAACAGGTTCAGTATGACTAATACAATCTCTTTCAGGAGGAAAGAGGTTGCCTTGGTCCCCCATTGTCCAAGCTGTCCCAGCAGATGAGGGTGGTAACATGTCAGGGGAGTTTTGTAGAATCTTCTTTGCATTGCGTAGGGTACTATACTTTGTTACAGTCTGTAGGTGATGGAATTAGAGCATTTGTTACCTATGACAGATCAGATTCATCATTGGTTCTCTCCTCGTCTTGATTTCTTGTTTGTTTGTTTTTGTTTAGTCACAAAGTCATGTCTGACCCATCACGACCCCATGGACAACATTCCTCCAGGCTCTTCTGTCCTCCACCATCTCTCGGAGTCCACCCAAGCCCACAGCCACTGCCCCAGTGACCCCATCCAGCCACCACAACCTTCTCCTTTTGCCGTCAATTGTTTCCA